CTTACCCCCCTCCGTTTCCCTCTGATATCTCATGAGTCAATGAGACCAAACCAAGGGCTTACCTTCACTTCGACATATCTAACTCGTCGCTGTGTCTTCCTGCAAACTAGTAAACAGGTTCGAGCAACGCGCTTGCTAGGATCCCAGCTCCGGCTAGAACACGTGATGCACCTCGATGGTTTGGCAAAGGCCTCTTCAAGCCTTCAACCACGGGTCGTGAGATGAAAGTGAAGCTGCAAAGTTTAGCCACAAACCCTGGATGGAGGGGGGTGACGACTCAGAATAAGTGCGGTATAAGCCGCAACTTGCATCCTCAGTCACCTACGGCTGCACTGTCATTGGAGTCACCTGGACCTTCTCCAATCCCAAAAACACCTGGAACACTCGAGATGCGGTTTTGCCGCGAGGCCTGGTTGCCACAAGCGCATCCCAGAGTCGCTGAAGGGCACGATGAGGTCAAGAGCAGCATATGACGATAGAAAGCCTGTGCAGAATTGCAGCACTTGTGGCAGATTTGCCAGACTTGTTGCGAGAGATGTCAAGGGCTGCGGCTGGGGACTCCAACATCTCACGGCAAAGTGGTGGCATCCCATGTCACTCGAGCGGCCCAGGCTTTGTGCATGCGATGAAGGCATGCCAGGGTCCTTCACAAACGAGTCACACTCTGGAGTCAAGTGGTCAACACCACCTGGACCTCTTGATGAGACTCAGGCCGGGTCCAATTTTGGTGCTCCCGCTGGCCGAGACTGATTCAAGAGTATCCTGAGGCCACAGCGACAACCACAGCAATCTGCGGCAAATCATGACAGCCTGCGACTGATTGGCAGCAGTGGCGGAGTCCTCTATGAACATTAATCCATTCCCCATGCCCTGCATGTCATCACAGTACTGGCTTCTTAGATCGACTCCAGGTGTCTTCCACAGCTTGCAGTTGGCGGCCGCAAGCACCGATCCCAGCAGAGCCCAGCAAGTGGTGTCGTGGCGACGCCACAGAAGCACGGCCAAGACGGCCCCTGCTTTGAGACAATATCGTAGTATTGTCGGTTCGACCTATTGAGTTCATGCACTTGCTTTTCTCATCTAAGTTCTAGGCGCGCTGGGAGTTAGACGCTTGACAGGAGCTGTGGAACCTATCGCCAGTGTGGTCGGCATGAACGTATTGGGTACGCTCGAATACTTCAGCCAGTCACCTTTGAAAACAGCAACACCCACTGACACGTCCAAAGGCAGCTCCTCTCCTGAGACGATCCACTTCGTGCCAGCGTTGATCCGGATGAGCACGGCGCGAAGCGTTAGCATGATGTCAATAGATTAGGGTGGTCTGACGAAGCCCAAGTAGTTCGTTGTTACTGCAAGGGGCCATATACAAACTTGAGGTGAAGAAGACATCTGACCTCCAAAATCTTCAAGAGTCGTTCATCGCTTGATCCAAGATAATATGCGGCAGAGCAGGAACTCGTCAGGCAGGTGTTGCGAAACTTAGCTTCCTGCGTTGAGTTCTCAGATCTCACACTTACTTTATCCATGGACTTGGTTGAACATGCAGACCCAGGAAGTTCTCCGATGTTTGTTTTGAAGGGCCTTAGCACCACAAGCACAAGCAGAACCGCGCGAAATATGAAGATATCAGGAGTTTCATGTTACAGAAGCTGACACACCACCGACACACGGACACGAACACAACCAGCAAACAACTAGCAAGGGCAGCTGTCAAAAAGCAAACACAAACACTGACGGAGGAAAAAGACAAAGACGGACGCGACAGACAGACAGAGATACAGACACAGACAGGCAAGACGGACGGACACTGGACGGACGGACGGACGGACAGACGGACGGACAGACGGACAGGACGGACAGGACGGACAAACAGACACCAATGCAGTCACAAATAAATATGCACACGCAGACATACATGCATACATGAATACATATACACATATACGTACATACATACATACATACATACATACATACATACATACATACATGCATACATCCATTCATACCTACACGCATGCACACACGTATACATACTATAATCTAAAATTCATATCTATATATATATATATATTATATATTCTATATATATATATATTCTATATATATATATATATATGTGTGTGTGTGTACATGCGTTCATGCATACATGCATACCTGTGTACATGCATGAATAGTTCACTTCCCCACTGCCAAGACGGTCTCTGCCAGTGTCATCGGAGGGACAGGCTCGATGTATATACACACATGCATGCATGCAAGTATGCATACTTCCACACGTACACACATGAACATCTACGTCTACATCTACATGTACATGCATTTCCCTTTCCACGTCTATGTACCTGTCTATGTCTATGCCGATGCTTGTACCCATTTCAATACCAATGTCTGTCCGTACATGTACGCATGCAGGCACGCATGTACCTATCTATCTCTCTACGTACCTATCTAGCTGCTACCTACCTATCCAACTATCTTATCTATTTATCTACCTATCAACTATCTGTCTATCTGAGAGTCTATCTGAGAGTCTATCTGTCTGTTGTCCGTCTCTGTCTGCGTATGTCTGTATGTATGTATGCATGCATGCATTTATTGTCTGTATTGCATGTATGCACGCAGGCCTCTGTATGCATCTATGGAACACAAGGACGGGGTCCACATACAAAGGCTATGACGCAGAGCAGCCACGAGTGACAACCTACAGTATTGAAACCAAAGCACGTTTGATGTACGAGGCCCTGAGCCGCGGACTGCTGAGAGGTCTGTTGACCTTCGGCATCGGCGTCATCTTCGCCCTCAGGGCACTGTAGGTTCCACGCAGATGCTTCAGAAATGTGTTGTGCACGTATCAGGAGTCCTGCAGTCCTGAGGGTTTGTGAGGCAAACTCTGCTGTTGCAAATGACTCTGGAACCCACTCGTTGCTCGGTGGCGAACGCTTGTGCCAACTAGGAGGACAACACGAATTCTGAAAACGGACACACACACACACACCGGCCGGGGCACTCTGCAGTTTGCTCACATCACTGGCCCTCCTGAGGGTCGAAGCAGTCTAAGCGAGGCCTGGAACACTTTAAGCGTCCAACCCCAAGATCTCTGACTTGAGAGCTGTGAACATACCTAAGGAGTCGCAACCGCCGTAAATTGCAAAGATTTTGCTCGAGACTAAAGGAAACACAAGTGGAGACTTCTGCTTGCAACATCCGCACGACTCGGACAAGCTCGATCTACATCCCGAGAGCGTCAGGACAGGGTGATTAAATCAGCGTCGAGAAGGGCCGCCTACTAAAACCGGTGACTTGCAGCATCTTGCAGTAAGGCTGCCCAAGCTTTGCTGCAGTTACTTACCCCTGTTTGTGATGTCAGACTTCCGGTCAGCTGCTCACAAGCCATTGTGGCGCACATCCACGAATTCGTGCAAGATCCCATCTCCTATTCAATGCCACGTCTACAAAACACATGTAACAGCCTGCGCTGGACGAATAGCGGAAATGTCATGTCTCAGTGCCAGTAGCACAGGTGCTGTTTGCTCTCTTCTCATGAAAGTGAGACAGCGGCCCACAGCCGATATCCTGGCAAGCGGCAAAAGTTGAGATGGGAGCTGTTGCAAGTCATTTCAAGAGAGGCGCCTGAACCACGAAGAATTCAAAACATATGTCCTGAGCACACCAGCTGCCGGCAGGCCACAGAACTGGCACATGAAGCCACAACATGTAGTAGGACCGACAGGCTGATCCTCGACCTGATCTCTGCCCAATAGTATTGACATTGTTGTGGGCCAGTTCTGCGATGTTCTGAATAGGGTTGGTATTTTGACCAGATAGCGCTGAAAGTCCTCCGA